AAGCTCAAGCGGCCTCGGTGATGCAACAACATACTAGACTATCCCAAAAATACCTTACATATCTTTATACCTAAACCCACACGAAACACTATATAACCCGTTCCGAATATTCCCCATGCCAAGGACGGTTCTCGATCGGTCGAAGCCAAAGAAACGCTCCGACAAGGAGCATGCTGAGAGTGAAGATGATGATGATGATGAGCCTGCACCTCCCAAGGAGACTAGGCCCAAAGCGAAAGCTAAATGCAAGGCGAAGGCGAAGGCGAAGGGCAGAGCATCTGCTAAGAAGTAGATTGCCCTGAATCACAAGCCGATGGCCCTGGCGTTTCGGTGATACTTATATGCAGTGGGCTTCTAGGCATATATAGGGTTCCCTAGGGTGTGGGTTGAAAGATCCGCATCGGGGCAAGCTCTTCTTTGCCATGATCGCAGTTTCACTGTGATGTGGTCGCGATGCTTGCGATTCCAATTTGTGTGCAACTCCGGGGGCTTCTCAAGCAAAGGAGGTTGAAAAGACCGATCACAATCCGATTCCGTGTATATCCCCCAACAAAAACCCATACAGAAAGCCCCGCATGATGCCGCGCAGGTGCCGCAAGCAGCAGCCACGAAGCGCGATCCGGAGCAGCTTCTGCCGCCTTGGCACGGGCTCGTGGATCCGGGGTGCATGTTACGAAATATTCTGCTTTTGGCAATCCCATCCTTAAATGTAAACCACGATGACCCAGACTTTGAACCCTTTCGATGATTTATGTGTCCATATGTAAACCTATAAACTCGAACCCGTCATCCTTAGACCCCTTTGCTACCCCTTGGAAGCTTAAGCCTAAGCCGATATGCCCTGAAGGTTTCGGACAGACTGCTTTGCAGCATTGCTGCGGGCTTCGTTGATGAAGTTCGGGAGGCTGACCCAGACTTAGCGGAGGATCTTCAATCTGCTGGGTTGCTACAGGAACTGCACCGGCAGTCAAAGACGAAACACGAAAATCAATCTTCAAAAAGCTTCGCAAAACATGGGCTTTCCTGCCCAATAGAGATCGAGACTGTGCAAGTGGGTCCTGACGTGACACACCCTATTCTGCGGGTTACTGATATGCTTGAAGCGTTGGCCTCATGCAACAAGTTGTGCTTGCTTTGGGGCGATAAGTCTATGGTGTCACACGTTCAAATTCTACCGAGATTCTGGCGGCGGTGGCGGGCGCACGACCCGCAGCACAGAATCTTCGAGCACCATCGGGATCACATTGCTTATGTACTACCAATGCAGCTGCACGCAGACGAAGGACAAACGCTGAAAAAGACTGGTGTCATGGTCATAAGCTTCCAATCGCCACTGGGCTTTGGCCTATCTACAACAGATGATCGCCCTGAAGCTATGGCCCTAAATTATATTGGCAACTCCTATGCCACACGGTTCCTCTACACAGTGTGCCACAAGAAGTGCTACAGCAAAGAGAAATCCTTTGTCTTCAATGGCATTTTGGATAGATTGGCTGAGGAGCTTGTGGATTTATTCTACAATGGTGTCACACTGAATGTTGGAGGCAAGAAAACTACTTTCTATGTAGCCTTGATCGGGGTCAAAGGCGATTGGCCGATTCAAGCTCGCATCGGCAACTTGTCAAGACACTTCGCTCGCAAAGGTGTGTATGAGGTTTCTCATAAGAGTGGTTTTTGTCATTTGTGCCGAGCTGGGGAGCTGGGCTACGACGCCAACGACTACGGAGCATCTGCGAGCTGGCGGGACACGTACTTGAAAGCCGTCCCCTGGGAGTCAGAAGGACCGTTGTGTCGGGTGCCGCAGTCGCCGGCGAAGGAGTTTATTCACAAGTTTGATCTCTTTCATACAGCTCATAAGGGCGTTTTTGCCGAGCTTGCTGGCAGTGGCCTGGTGACTTAGCTTCCATATAATATGTGGTGCTTAATTTAGGTTTATTGGTATACATTTATACATAAATAAACATTGTATTGGCAACCCAATTGTTGGAATCCATATTCAATTCAGGTTGTCATCACCGACTACAGTTTGGCAGGGCCCGGTGACATTCCCCAGCAGCTTGATGCAATCTACGCTTTGGCTGTGCGGCATTGCAAGGCTACGAGAACGCCATTGCATATGGATAGGCTCACTCGGCATCTGCTGGCATTTCCCGGGGACTATGCATATCCGGTTGGGCGCCTTCTTCTTTATCTTATTGTAAGTGCACTTTTGGTTCTAAGATAGTTTCGGCTTTCTAGTTCTATGTCGGAATTCGTTCTAGATTGTTTGTTCAATAATCTAAGGAATTTTTTTTTTTTTTTGGTTCAAGGGGGCCGATACAGCAGCTATGTGTTCTTTCCTGGAAAGTTTCTGGGCGGATCACCTCGAGAATGCAAGCGAACCGGATGTGTACTTGGAGGGGCTTCTGGAATGCTTACGTGCCGCGAATGTCTTTATGCGTACATTGTACCGCTCGGGACTATGGCTGTCGATGGACCGCTGCAAGATCGTCGCCGAATCCGGCTTGGCATGTCTGAAGGCGTATATGGAAACGTCGCATCGTGCTTTTCAGGCTCAGCGAACGCGCTTTAGACTCACGCCTAAATTTCACGCGCTGATACACGTGGTGGATTCGATGGTGACATCTTACAACAATGGGCGCCGCTGGACGTTCTCTCCCTTAGCGGAGGCAACACAGATGGACAAGGACTTTATCGGTCGTATGTCCTCTTTGTCGACAGCAGTAAGCTCGCGGCAGATGCACACAGAGACAGAGAATCATTCCAAGCCCTGGTTAAGAACCCAGCCATCCCGAATCACAATCTTGTTATTCCGCTTCCAAACCCCGAACGCAAAACCGGCACTAGGATTCACCAACTTATAAAACAGGCGCCTTTGGTCAGTCGCCTGTTATTTTCGGCTACCGGGTTTTTCAGGTTTTGTTTTGTCCGACTGGTCCGCCTGCGCGTCGGCGGAGCTAACTGCGAGCTACTGGACGCCTACGGCGGCTCGGCCAGGAGCTCTCCCAGCGGCAGTTCGGCACCGTCGCTGGCGTCGCAGGGCCGTATCGGCAGCTCCAGCAGGCTGTGCGCGCAAGGCCGCGAGTGCTGCGAGTGCGGTCCAGCGGCGCGTGAGCGCGGCGATGGTTGCTGCGGGGCGAGGGTTAGTGCTGGTTCGCTCGGCACCGCCGCCAACCATGCACCAGCGTGTGCCCCGCCTTGCGTAACAAAACCCGAAATGCTGGCAGCAGAGCCGGCAGCAGCACGGTCGCGATAGTGAAGGTTTCGAGTCCGTGTCGCGTGAAACTGCCAGCCGTGAGGCCACTGGCCCGGGCCTGCATCGCGGGGTTGTTGCGGCCGGGCGCCCTCGTAGGCCAGCCGGGGCACGCTTCCCAGCGTTCTGCTTGCAAGAGGTTTCGCGCAGACGCTGCTTCGCGTAAGCAGAGGATCGTGCCCTCCGTGCCGTGCTCGAGTGCCTCCAAGCACCGAGCAGCTGCGCCGGGCAGGCGGGACCGAATGACAGGAAGCGCGTCCATCCATGCTGCCCAGTACGCCGCTGGGGCCGTCTGCTCTGCTGACTGCAAACCGAGCCCGCCGTAGACAGCTGGCAACGATGTGAGTGGCCAGGCCTGCTGTGCCTCCGCCAAAAGTACGCCCCCCGAACACTCTTGAAGTGTCTCCCAAACGGCTTGGTCGTGCGATTCGGAAGGCGGAAGTGTTCGCAAGGCGTGCCGGCGCAGCAGCCAAGCGCATTGGAGGTGTATACACATCCTGGCATTCTTGCGAATTTGGGTAAGAAACGCGCTTTCAACTACGAGGGTGGCCCGCCGCCGCTTGGGGGGGCGCCGCTGGTGGAGTGTGTTGTCGGTTGCCCTGCAGCGAGCCGTTGCCAGCTCCGCGCTTGGGGTCTGGTCCATGCCGCCGCTGCCTGGTAGGCCCAAGCGCGCTCCCGTTGGGTGACGTGTTGGACCTCGCGATAGCGAGTGCCCCGAGCCGACTGCCGCTCCTGTAGGCGTTTAGGTAGGTACCGACGGTCGGACACGTTGGGCGGACGTAAAAAGGTGCGCGAAAAAAATGGTTGGTACCGTTTCCCCCCTTTCCAACCCCCCTGTGGTGCGGTGTGGTTCGGGTGTTTCGAAATCGTCGGCGTCATCGTCACGCAACATCATTTTGTGCTGCCTGCCCCTGTGCCGTATGCTCGCCCCCGTGAGCCCAGCCACTGGAGCATGAGTGGCCCGTCAAACCAAGGTGAAAGGCCCGGTCGTTCCGCAGCACTTGTGTGGACACCTGTTTTGTTGTTCTGACCCCACGGATTTTTTTGGCGATCAGCTGGTGGTCCAACTGTAACTGCGAACTATGGCGCTGCACGCATTGGGCTGCAGTCGTGTTTTGATGTGTTTTGCACACCTTCGGCGGTCCTCGCCGGAGCAGCTCGGGATAGGCAACGTGCTTCCGCTGTTCTGCAATGGCCACGGCAGCGCCATCCTTGGTCGTCGAGGAGGGCTATGGGGGCCTTTCGCATGTCAATGGCGAGGACCAGAGACACATCGCAGCACGGAGCCTCGCCGAGCTGTGTGGCACTGCCTGCTATTCGAAGACGAGGTGCCGGTCATAGTCAGGCTCGACACCGCGGGCAGGCGTCCGAGTGAGCCACTGCTGCTGGAAAACCTGGCCTCTTTGTGCGACGGGCAACGGCAGGCGCAACTGGGGCGGCATTGTTGTCACCTGGGACAGTGCCGAGCCATGCGGCAACGCGCGGCCCAGATTGTGAACGCAGCGCCTGGCTGGGCGGCGCGAGAGCCGGAAGCAAGTCACTTTTGGCAATAACAGGTTGAACAAGCGATGGAAAGCTGGCAGTACGCGGCAGGAGCGACGCGCTCCGCACGTTGGGTGGCGTGCCGGTAAAAGCGCGAGGCGTCGGGCAGCAGCGACCTCGGGATCTTGGTCGTAGGTCTTGGCCTAAAGCCTCGGGATCTTGGTCGTCGGTCTTGGCCTAAACCCCCCATAAGCACCAAGCACCTGCCAACTGCGTCGTCATGGCCGCGTGCGTACGGTGCTGAAAGGTCGGGAGGTCAGGTGTGCAGCAGATAATCTGCACGCGGGGCAGCACACATGGCAAAAATGAGTCCTGCACATTTTTAGTCCGGCAGCAGGGGAGTTCCTGCAGCAGACGGCCCGCGTCCCTCAGGCACGCGTTCGTGCGCGACGTAACGTAGGTCGGGTGGCCAATGGGCGTGCCAAAGGCGAGAATCTCGCTGGGCTTCAAGAGCGAACCGGGTTCGGCAACGCCCGCGGTCAGAGGACCCCCGTCGCCGTTGCAGGTTAGCTGCCCGGGCCTGGATCGTGGAAGTGACGACGTCGAGCGCTTGCCCCGCACCAGCGGGCTTGGTCGCTCTCCTGGACGATGTTTGCGTCGTGCGCAGGCGCACGATGTTTGCGTCGTGCGCATGCGCTCGTCAGCCGCAACAAGGGCATCGTGTCGGCCGAGCGCATACAAGGAAGGAGCAACGCATCGCCCCGATGGCAGCCATCAAGTTGGCGGATGCTCCGATGTGCGCCGGAAGCGTCCCACCAGTTGTGGGTGGACTCCTGTCCGCATCACGGGCGGACGAACGGCACCACGGCCGGGGCGACCTCGCGCAGTTTGCGCATGAATGTTGCGAGTGAAATGGTGTTGTCAACACGGCAGCCATCGAGTGAGACACCGTGGTGTCGGCAACAGGGTCGCTGGCAGCGCGCAGCATGCCAGACAGAGCAGCAGTGCCGGTGCGTGACGCCTCAAGGCCTCTGGACTGGTGCGTGATGATGTCGGGCAGTCAACGCCTGAGCGATGAGCTGCCTTCGCAATCTTGCACGTGCTCGCAGCTTGATCAGGGTTGAAAGCTGCTCCGCGAGAGGTCTTTGGGCTGAAGCGCGCATGCAGAATTTGACTCCGTGCAGCTTAGCTCCGAATATCCGGCAGATTTGGAAAGCCTCCTCTCCTGGCAGGATCCGACAAAAGGGGTAGCATCCGAATTTCACACAGATCGGCGAGCTGCAGGAAGCAACCCGGTTGGAGCCTTTTTTTGCTACCTTTGGTTCCAACCAGCCGCAGCCCTGCAAACCTCGGTGCAGCTGACCCTCGAGTGACGGAAGCCGTTCGAAGAGTCCGCCGAAACGTTGCATCTGAATTTTGCATCTGCAAGGAAGCTCCTCGATGATCGCCTCGATGACGTTGCTCGGAAAGCAGTTCATGCAGCCTCCGAGCAGCTGCAAGCCGACAAGGCTGGGACTTAGTAAATTTAAGCACCGACATGTCAGGTAGTCAGCAAGAGTTTGCTCTACTGCATGTGCGATCACTTCTCGTCACAGCACCTGGCAATCCAGAGCTTCATGAAAGGCCGGCAGCTGTGCCACGCCCTGAAGGACCGCAAAGTCTGGCCGACAGTGGCGTCTGTGAGTGTTGCCGGCGTGCCGGGTTGGAGGTTACGCACATCTAGGGGATTTCGGTGAAAATTGCAGGTGAGCGCATGGCCAGGTCAGACAATGTTCCGAAAGTGCCCGGAGCCACGGCCGCCGTTGTCAGCATGCTCCGCTTTGGACACTCCCCCCCGGCGGACGTGCCCGCAGGCCGCTTCCCGGCGTCGGAAGTTCGCCGCGTCAGCATCGGCATGGGCTGGCCAAGCTGTTCTGCAGCATTGCGTGCTGTTGCGAACGGGGCAGTCCAGCGCCCGGCAAGCAAGTCGCTCACGCGTCCGATTGAACCTGTGACCCGTGCGCTGCCCCGGACCAAGACTAGCCTGTGCACGTGCAAATTTTTATCTGCACTATATCTGTTCTTGTTTATTCTTATTTCGTACATACAAATAAGAAACATAAATAGCCCATTATAGGCAAATTTTTGTTAAAGTTACTACTTTGCCTCTTGTATTTTCTTTTGCCCGCGCCACAAGCCAAAACAAGATATAGCCAGAATTTCGTCGTACCCCAGAACACAAACCGAAGTTTCCACGAAACTTCAAGTAAACTTCGGGTTGCAATCCCCCGAAAAACAGCCTACATAGATTATATAGGAAGTTTCCTCGTTTCCGGCAAAAAAACTATATAAGGTGTGTGTATATATACACATATATATTTATTTATTCTTCTTTCTGTATCTTGACGTCGCACACATATAATAAAGTACAAAAAAGCTAAGTCACATCACGTTTTGTTGGGTCAAAGCACAACCATGCCAGCAATTCCGGCCATTCCCCAATAGACGCC